TTACAAGACAAAAGGGAGTCGCAGTATCACAGATCCGAGCGCTCGCCCTCTGTTGCCTCGTCAAATCGAAAAACTTAAATAAAACGGCAAAAAAACCCCCCAAAAACATCTTCATAGAAACTGACCTATCACCGCACCGAAAGAAAAAAAACTCCGGCCGTGGAGGCCGTACTTACGGGCGATAAAGACATACCGTCCGCGTTCCGGGCTCAGAGGCCGAAAGTTCCGGGGGTAGCACCCGGAGCAGTCGAAGCTACGGCTCCGGTACCCGGAACTTTCGGCCTCGGAGCCCGGAACGGACGAAATTTCTATATAGCCCGTAACTTTTTTATTTTCAGTGCGAGGTTTACTATCGACACTAGAAAAGAAAGTTTCTTGGATTTGGAGTTCGGATTTTAAAAATGTACGTACTAAAGTATACTCTTGATTCGAACGGATTTTTACTTGAATCAAGAGGAAATCCGCCTAAATTAAGCGTCTTGGAGGACATTTTCCATTGATAATGGTTTAGTGAGAAATTGATGACACGGAATGAGATTTACAAATACCCTTTTTTCTACTTGTGGAGATTCAAAAAAGGCAACACATTGCTACATATTTAAAAGTCCTTTCTTGGAAATCCAAACTCGTATAATGTATGCGCTAACGAAGTCTTTAAGGGTAATGGTTACTGATATTTTCTGGGAGCTTAGGTCAGTTTTCCTCTGGTGACGAGACAGTTGACCGATGCGGCACAGTTTGTCATCGCTGCCGCTAGCCTGGATTCATCGTCGTTATAATATAACAACATAATTACTCTGATCGCCCAGAACTCACATTCTCTCACAACCGCGACCGCGTTAGATGCATCGCGCGCATTGGTCGGGAAATTTGCATTCAATTTTTTCAGTATCTCCCACGAACACCGTAATGTGATCCATTATTCACGCTAAGCTTTCAAACGTTCATCTTCGCCATTAACTCTAGGTTAAGCTCCACTTTTCAACCGATCCTCAATGAGTCACAGAAAGATCTTCTCACGTGATGTTAGCAGACTGTCCATGCGTATCAATCACTGTCCCCGGGAAACTCGACCGGCAAGTCTAGCGAAAAGTATTGACTGCTTTTTCACTGGCATTAGGTCAATATAGCAGGAACTCAAACTTTCGGGGGCTTCACCTTTTTCCGGGGACAACAAGATTCATCTTAACTACTCAGACCAATCATCAACCTAGGCTTTGTTTCACGCACGGTGACAAGTTTCCTTGGATTTCAATATTCCCTCCTTTTCAGGATTTTTGGACACAACATTCCCTGATTTTTCCATACATTTTTTTGTTCATTTGCATGTTTTTTTCAAAAAATTCTTTTCTGAACACACTTTTAGCGCGAGGACTGGGAGAAAAATTTAAAGGTTTCGTGTTGCAGAGTTCTTGCATTTGCCCTGACTTGTCAGGGTTATGCAAAATTTCCTGACTTTTCAAGGACTTCTAACCCTGCGTTTGTTAAACGGACGATTTATTACATTACCGGTCCAGAACCACAGACGAAACAGTAACAGACTGATAAGTGCCATTCGAGATATGAATTTCATGAAGTGGGAAAAACGCGTCAAAATGTCGATATAAAAAGAGTTTTTTGGTGGGAGGATGAATTATCTAATCAGCACCCCAGAGCAAAAAGGTACCCACCTCCAATTTAGTATATTCGAAATATCAGGAGAAAGCTGCGCGTCGGCCACATTGATTCCAGAGTAAATCGCAATTTTTGAAACTCCATATCTCAAAATCAGCGTGAGATAGGGCTACCAAATTATCCGAACACACGAAACCGTTAATAGAGATTTCAAAAACACCACTGACTCGATTTTTCCGAAAATGTGAGTTAGGCATCTTTTGGCTCTGAGGTACTGTAATGTAGTCACTGAATCCGTCTTTTTCAAGAACACGGTGTCGAAGTTCCGTAAGTAAAAATCGCACGTATCGCCGCGAGCTAGATGAGGGTCTCTATTAGTCTCCGTCCAGTTTTCCAGACTTCGCGCACTCCTCGAGTCCTCACGCACGCCAGGACGCGTCGGCGAAGGTGGAAAAGCGCGAGAAAAATCGTCGACTTATCGACAGGGTTACCAACTCAGTCCTGAAATCGAAATTTTCCCATATGAGGCTATAGTAAAGAATCGATTATTAATCTCTACCCTGATAATCGATCCTTTTCCATGGGTTCAAATGGCAGATCCATCGACTCATCGCGACGACTCCGGCGAGTACAGCGGCGAGCGGGAGATTAATTACTGCAATCGGTCATCCTCAAGTTCAAGTACATCGCACTACTATCGCTCATCACTTGGCGGCCGTCGCCCTGCCCCCACCCCTCCGTCGCCGCTTTTACTACGCTCGGCGTTCGGCACGGATGATTGACGTGGAAACCGGCGAAAAAAAACATGCTCTTTTTCAACGAGGCATTTTTCGACCCGTTTTTTTGCGATCGGGTGAAGTCAAGGGGCTACGATTACTTGAAAAAGTTGAGGAAAAAACGCGCGATGCCGTCTGTCGAGCATGCACATCATTAGCGGCAACTTACGAATGTTGGTTTTTTGTCGGGTTAATTGCGCGATGAATTTCACTCATGAATCCGAGGAGTGGTTTTTAAACTTTCAAAGCTTTGGACCGTCTGGAACGTAGAATCAGGCGTGTAGAAAATGCTCGATCATGAAAAGGTGGAAAAGCATTTGAAATTTAGAAATATTGGCAATTTTTAGGGGTCAACGGCCGAAAATCACAGGATACAAGAAGAGAAAGAAAGGCCCCCTTAATTTGATCTAAGAGAATTTTTTGGAAAGCCGATCAGAAAAATGGAGAATGCCGGCGAGTGGGTGCGTGGAAACGTGGAAGCTGGAAAGTTATTTTCCAAGGTTCCAATTTTTTTCAGAAAATTGCACATACTCATGCTCCAAAATGACTAACTCCTTTCAATTTCTCATTACACATGCTGCACAATACACGCTGTCTCCACTCTCTTATGGCTATGACTCATGCATGAGAGGGAAACAATTGCAGTACGGTGCAAGATAAATTGACGCTCTTAATTGGTCGCCTGATTGGGGAGGCCTGATTTGACTCGCAGCGTTCTCATGGCTCTCTCGATCAGTTCCGTCCGCCGCGCTAATTTATGCACCCGTCCAATCAGTCCCGCAATCAGATCAGATCTCGTCTTGCCGAAATTTTTCCGTGAGAAAATTGTTGCCGGCTCAATCTGCTCACCACTCAACACATGTTGACAAGTTTTTTTCGGTGAACTTGGAACCATCGACCAGGGTTGCTAAATTGTATTCAAATCCTTACTTTCATCAGGCGACTGCATGCGCTACCGACAGCTCAACTGCCGCCAAAAGGAAAAACACTGTTTGAACATCCAGACTTGCCAAACTTCTCCCCATAAAATAGTTATTACTGCGAAAAGTTTTGAATATTTTCCCCTTAAATTATCAGATAATTTAGATAAAATTGCGAATAAAAGTACCTGATATTAGAAGAAAAACGGGGTGACATGTTCCTTAAGATATTGATATTCCCTGACTTTAGAATGTTATTTTGGTTTTGTTTTGTGTTCTTCATGATTTCTCATTTAAATTAGTTAGTATATTATTTTAGCTAAAATGACGAATTTCACGGTTCCGCAGTAAAATTACCGAGTTTTTCTCAAACTTTAAGGGTTGGGTAAAATTCCTGGACTTTTTCCCGTTTTCCCGTACTATTCAAAAACGTGTTACCCTGAAAAATAAACATACGTATCCAAAAAATTCGTCCTTCATCAAAGGTAACCTGGCAACGTTCGAAGGCTCTTACGGTGATCTTCCTTAACGTGGCAGTCAAGGTTACTGACAATCAGGGTTGTAGTTGGAGACGGATTCCCTGAGGGCACTGATCATTTAAATTATAACCGATCAACTTTTAAATTATCTTTTCGAAAGTTGGCAACGTTGACATATACTCGATTGAGCTCCATTTCTTCTTCCGAAACGAAGATAAATGAAAACATAACCGAGGAAGAAAGCCGTGGGAACGAAAGAGGCGGACGATTTCAGATGTTCGTCCCGGTTTAATCCATTTTTTCGCCTGTTCCTGGCAAAGCTCTTCGGAAATTCGCCAACTAATTTCCTCGATTCTCACCGATTTTATGGGAACCCCTGTCTCGAGGAGCTCCTTTGATGTATGCATACTGCGGGATCATCCCGTGCACCGAGCGCGAATCGTTAATAAATTAATGGCTTTAATCTTCTTACTGCAGCATGCCGAAGTCCTTGTACGGCGGGGCTAATGCCCCCGGGCATCTTTCCGAGGAGACATCAATGAACGGGGAAAATGTCGCGGCGAAAGAGGAATTCATCCGATTCATTCATTAGAATGAAATGTTTTCCGACTTTTTCAGCGAGCTACTTGAATGCAGTTCGCACAAGTGAATTCGCGGATTTGAAGGAAATTCACACGAATTACTTTTCATCTTTCGCACGGTCAGAACTTGGAGAAAGAAGAATTTTAAAATGTGAAGGTTGATTTATGGACAGGACGATAAAACAGGTCAACGACAGTTTCGAGAGGAGTTGGGAGAGCTCAAAAAAAGATGGGAAGGATTTTTCTTTGAGATCTTTGCAAACATAATGCAATGATTGCTTCAGAGAGGCAAATGCGTCTTCATCTCGAAAAATTTTGATATTTTCCTGATTTTTTTCCGATTTTTTGAAAATGACGCTTCAACGTTTGAAAATTTCCGATAAAATCCTCTACTCGATGAAAATTTTTAGTTATAGGCAACCATTTCAATGATGACGACGTCTTAAAAAGAGAAATGGTGATCCAATTTTTCTTTTATTCCCTCATTCTGATGACCCGATTGATTCTCTCCTATTTTGTTATTTTCTGCTGCCGCTAATTTTGAGAGTACCGTAGAATAAGAAAAAAAAGCTACAGGGGCGGTTCATGCAAAAAGCAAGAATAAAAGATAACAATTTAGTGAGAACTTACCAACTGAGTTTTCCGGGTCGGAAAGGTCACTAAGTGAAGGCACTTTTTGCATTGAGCCGCAGGCTTCATCGAGGCACTCCTTTTTGATAGGTAACATTGTGAATTCATTGCTAGAGAATTTCTGGAACACAGAAAAAAATACAAATAAAAATCAGATGCTGATGAGCAAAAAAGAAAATATTCCAGAAATGAATTTTTAAAAACAGGTACTAACAAAAATCAGACGCTGATGAGCAAAAAAAATATTCCAGAAATGAATTTTTTCACACGATAGAGGAAAAACAGCAAAGCGGTAAGGACATATACTACGGTATAAACGCGCCTATAAAGTGAACATGTTTTTCACGAAAAGTCTGCTGTGCAGGTAACACACCGAGGTAGGTAAAATTTTCATAGAGAGATAAACTTAAAAAACTTACACTACTATGATGTAAGCGCGTCGCTCTATCTTTCACAAAAGTATCATGAAGCCCCCGAATAAACCTAGACGAGTATAGTGCTTATAGTTAATATAGTAAACTACAGAAAACGATTTTATCTCTCACGGTTTATCTTGTCATCACGGCGCTATTTTCTTTAATATGGTGCAAAAAATATAAAAAAGTGTTATCCCAAGAGAAGTGAAATGTTGTTTCTCTCGTGTGTAACGGTTCTCGCTGGTTCGACTGCATCACTGGGTTTCAATAAAATCAAATCACCGCTTGCAACGAAGAGGCTGTCATTAAATCAGGCCATAAGGACAATAATTCCGCTGCGTTTTCCTCCATTATAAATAAAACATTCGAAAAAGTAAGTGTGAACCAACGAAGAAAGCTGGGATTACGCCGAGAACAATTTTAATTAGAAATTCAGCGAATCCAATTTGAAACCTGATCCGTGGACGCCACTCTTAAAATTCTTTCGTCATTCATGTTCGCTGGCACGGCCCGCGGTTACTGGTACCACCAACCGACACTCGAGCTCCGTGGAATGGTTATGGCTTCTCCTTCAAATTTTCGAAGGTATAATAATCAGCGGAGGCGTCCCTGATTAAGCTATTCGAAGAACGCCACTTCATTCAGAAATTCGCACCAATGTGTGCAGAAAAACTTGAGTCTAACTAACAGGGAATACGGGGGCATTACATGAACCGTCATGCTAGCCAGTATCAACACTGGTGATTGCACGCTCTTTTTCACCCTGCACGGGCATATCATGAGAAAAACATTATTCCCTGTTATACACGCAAAAAAATAATCGGTGTTGAAGACAGAACCTTCTGTTCACAGGGCTCCTGCACTTTTTTCGTATACTTACAGAACTTTTCTGTTGTGAGAACAGAACTTCGGTGGTAAGCATTGACTACTCTGTCCTCATAACGGACACTTCCGTAGCTGTAATAAAGAAAGTGCAGGAGCCTTCTGAATATAGAGCTATATTTTTTCAGAGTACAGTCTGCTGCTGCGAAACTTTACGACATTGTTAAGTTCCTGAGAATGAATAAAAATATCGGGGTTTATGCCATATTTTCGAGATGATCTTAATAATTTTTGACTTAGATGTAATTGGCTATTTTTAAAGTTTTCCGATTTTCAAGGCTACATCTGATGTTAGCTCCCCTTCTATGCAGATCAGTTGGACTGAACGATGCAAAACGGAGCAAACTGTTTTGACTCGTCTACGAAACAACATGAGTATAACATTAATTTCCCTATGCAGATAGATAAGCGCTTTCGAAGATGATCCAGCGAAATTAAAGAGCTTCTTGAAAGAGAGCCGACAGCAAAAAATCGCGTTTGAGAAAAATGCGATTCAGGTTTTCATAATTACTTTGTAGCTATTGGCAGTAACCTACATCGGAAATTAGATTCCAAACTCCAATGTAAATCACCGCCAACGGCCAGAAAATAATCATAAAAACTTTTTTCAATAAGCGCCTTTTTTCGGGAAACTCCTCAATTAGACCCTTCTTGCGAGATCAAGTCGAGTTCACCCTCGGGCGCAAATCACGAAATTAATCGCGAGATCCCGATTTCTATTTCCAACAGGTGACTGTTGGTTGCCAGCACAGAATCAGGCGATGCAGGTAGGTGTTGGGTGTTGCTGAGGTTACGTCGATTGCATGACGCGCTCGCTCAGCATGCGGCCAGGGCGGCCGGGGCAGCCGTGACAAATCTGAGGGGGTTGAAATCGGGTCAATCGGCGAAACGGCGGGCACGAAAATTAATTGAAAAGGGGTAGAGGGAGAGCGAGGGAGGGGGCGGTGGCGGGGGCGCGGGGCGCAGGGACCAGACAGGGCGCCCCCTCCGCACGAGCGTCGAGCATCTTTCGCCACTTGGAGCATAAATTATATTAAGTACACATTACAATCGAGTGCGTGGTCGGATCGGTATTACATGTGTCTCTCGTCCATGTCTACATACAGGGTGCTCAGCAAACGGGTCGGGTACGCGCCCCCCGAAACCGGATCGACTTCTTTATTCCTTTCTACTAGGGCGGACTCATCGTATGTTGAGACAAAAATCGAGTATTCCTTAGGTCACCACTCATCAGTAGTGCCACCTGAATGCATGTTTTAACCTGTTAAACGGTGCTGATTCGAAGGTAATCTGAGATTAACATTTGTCTCAACATACGATGAGTCCGCTCTAACTCTCTACTTACTCTCTACTTTTAACGTTCGTCACATGAGAAACAGCTATACAGACAATATCGTCACATTCCTGCCAAGTATCACAAGCGCCATGAGGCGTTTAAAAATTTCCGCCGCCGTTTTATTCTTTAACAAAGAAGTTAACACAAATATTTCACTTAATTTTCCTTGTGTTGTCGATAAAATTCGGTGAAATTTTCAAACAGATTCAACCAACAATTTCACTGTAAAAAACTGAGATGGCTGCGGAAATTTTAATTTTCGCATGGCGCTTGTGATACTATGAATAGTTCTCGACTTTAGGGATTTTGAGGGATTGAGCGTTATGAGACGAGCTGGCACATTTCTTATGTTCCTACAATGTACCTGAAATTATAGGAAGATGCACACGGCGGGGCGGAAACTTTGTGGGCATTCTGTAGGACCGAGCGCTAAGCGGTTAAGCCCAGCCTACACAGAAACACAACCAGCGCCGCGTGGAGCGCCCCGCGTCTGGATCTCCATGGTCCCCCCAACTCTTCGGGAGGGGGGGGGAGAGGGGGCTTGGGTCTGCTCGCACACGAGTCTAGTCACAGATGACCAGTTGCCACTCTTGTAAGTAGGTAGATCATCGCTTGCTCAGCGAGCGCCGCTGGCGTTGCCAGCAATCACAAAGAAACACCAAATATAAAGACAATAAACGAAGTCTAAATGGAATGAAAGATTGAAATATCCTGAGGATAAAATTCGCCCAAATTTGAAATGGGCTTTCGCATCATTAGTCCATCCAATCGGGCAGCCAAATAGACAAACTGCACTAATAGATATCAATTTGCGACAATACTTTCATGTTCCAATTTTGAAAGTTTTTCAATTCAAGTGTATCTGCATCACACCATCTGTAATGTCGCAGAGTCTGTGAATAGGTACCTTATCTCCCAAAAATTCCAAGTTGAGCAAGTGATAAAACTGCATAGAGGAAGAAAATAAGGGCATTTTGATGAAATTTTGACCATGAAAGCTCAAAACTTAGGGAGACGCGACGTTTAGAAGTTGCATAACAGAGATTCTTTGGTTTTAGGTAAAACGTTAAGGTTAAAAGTTTAGGAAATCAGACATGCAAACAGAAAAGGAGCGAGATACAAATAATATGAGAGAATACGTTAAAACCGTACGAAGCTTTTCCCCGAGCTACTTCTAGAGAGCGTTTCACGTGCGGAACTCAAAGTCGCCAATTTTTACCTAAATTTGGCTCTCCTAGAGAAATTTCCTCCCGGAAAATGCGGTCCCTTCCCAAAGATGCCGTCACAAATACAATGAAATCATTCAGTTTGAGAACGACTCAACTTGAATTTTATACAGCATACAATTTTTTGCGTGGAAACACTCTTTTTCTACCTGTTACGCAGTTTTTATCGCGTCTCCTAAAAAAATTAATTTTCCCAAGATGGGACGTCTCCGAACTGAGAGACTCATTTCGCTTCAACGACGTCATGGTTACGAGAGCTCAGATCCTGAGAATCCGCTTGGGAACCGCACTCGCGACGCTCGTCTTATGACGTCATCGGGATCTGGGGACCAGACGTGCCTCTCCCGTATTTCGCCTACATGACGTAGGGGCTGAATCGGCCGACTTGCGAAGCCGGGCTGCCGTGATAGCGAAAAGAGCAGTAAGTGAATGCTGGGATGAACCCCAAGACACATCAAAGCATGTGCTAACGATGGCTCATACACAAATGCACTTACTGCTCACGGCAGAGGGGGAGTTGCACCTCCTCGGCAGGAGTCAGGTTGGAGTCCCGTCTCCTACTCCAGGACCTGCGGACTGGAAGGCTGCGGCCGATCCTGGACGGAGCTTATCCAGCCTATAAATAGCTTGTATTTATATTCCGATCCGATTCCAAGAGCGAACCAGAGCCGCAGCACGAGGGCCCGACAGCCTGGCGTAGGCCGCTCCGACGCGACCGACACCGACCTCCCGACGTCCGACGCGACGTCGCAGCCGTCCGCGGGTCGCCATCCCTCGAGGCCCGCGATCATCGAAAGCGGGAAATTCATCTGAAAATTGGGGTTGAAAACCTGTAATTGCTACCCCTTTCCTCCCTTCTATTTTGTTTGTACATGCGGCCTACGTCGACGGCGTTTCAGAAGAAATCTACTTTTCTTCACCTTACGACATTTCCAAAATCTTAAGTGGAACTAAAATTTATATTTAATTATTTCATGATGAATAGTAAAGACTGAGGTAGTTTGTAGATACCTTTGCTTTGTTCTATTGTAAGTAAAGTAAAAAAAAAAAAAAAAAAAAAAAAAAAAAAAAAAAAAAAAAAAAAAAAAAAAAATCAGAGAAACCGAGAGGAAACCTTGAATTTTTACGAAGAATTAGTCTCCAAAAATCTCAAAAAATCAGAAAAATATTAGGAAATGAAAAAATTTAAGAATTATAGGCGCCGACACATATTTAGCTTTCGTTGTCTCAAGATGGAGCAAATTATTCCCTTACTGTAGAA